ATTCCCCAGCCAGCAAAGCTGGCTGGGGAATTCTGGGAGTTGAAGTCCACCAGGCTTAAAGCGGCCAAGGTTGGAGACCCCTGTCTTAGAACATCTAAGGTTTGGGAAGTTAACTTTCACAACTAGAAGTCACTTGTCTTTCATAGAAAAGTACAGCACCACAAAAACACTGCTCATGTATAAGTTGAGAGATTTTTGTACCTTAAGTTTGGAATCTGAATTCAATACATGAAAAGTACAACTCATAGCACCAAAAATAGAAACCATTATGAAGTGTTTCAGACAGTTACATGATTCTGTAATCTATTAAGACTTGCGCTTCAACATCATATGTTGACGACTGAATTAGTTCTGCTTCTACCAAAACATACTAAGTAGAGAAAGGAAAAATTGTGTAGTGTAAATTGAGCTAGTTACAAGACAGATCATAATTACTTCAAAAAATAATGCACTGGAGAACATCAGGACAAGTCTAAATGAAAGAAACTGTGGCCCAAAGTTTATATTACATAAATCCAGACAAATAAGGAACCATTCCAGGCAATCAAAACAAGAAACCATTAAATAAAGGAGTTGGCTAGGAGAATAGTGGTAACATGTTTTAGAGTAGAAATTCCCAACCTTGACTTCTTGGCCACACCCCTGGGAGGTGCAAAATAGAATTTCAGGGGGTGCAGCCAAAAGTGGCTTATGTCCCTTAATGATGAGTTGGAAGTCACCACGCAGCCAGCCATTAGCGGGCCTTGAGCAATGGTAGTAGGTGGCTGTGTTGCGTAGATAGTTGCCTTATTTAATCAATTACATATACATAACTGATTGCCAGAGTACTGCTTTTAAAATCATAATGCAACATCCGACATAATTGTATATTATTTCCCTCAATGATTTCATGAGTTCCTTACATATTTCATCTCTCGCGGTCTCTCAGCTTGCCCATCACCTCTTGTTACTTACACCTCACTTAAATTCACTTGGCCAATTCCATGCTTATCCCTGCTTTATCCAGCCAATCAAATGCCTCCCTCAAAGCCACTGACTTCCCCCTTCCATATATAATTGAAAGAACTGAGGAACGAAGGATTGAAGGAAAGGCAGGAGGTACCTTTTATCTCAAGCACACTCCAATCTCTTGCTACCCAAGTCAAAAGAGATGTAAACTCCTTTGTGTGTGTTCATTTCACAATATTCTGGTAGCCCAATCTATTCACTCACTCATACTAGCGAGGTGTAAGTTTATTGTTAGTGAATGGGCATTGTTTACATGAACACCACTTTTCCTTGTGGGCAAGTCAGGTCAGTATGGGTAGTACTCTTCCTTATCTGCTTAGGACTGAGTCTGTGCAAAAGGCTTATTAGCCTAGCTCTGCCCACTCTGGGTGACTCCTCCCTAGTTTCTGCAAAGTCAGTGCATCAGACCGGGTTGCCTCTAATGAAGGAAAAAGAAAACAAGAGATTTAACAGGACTCATCCCCCCCACAGTCCCAGGAAGGAACCAATCCCAGGATGGGGTTGACCTGTTTTGCCTACAAGGAAAAGTGGTGTTCAGGTAAACAATGCCCATTTTCCCTTGTAAGGCAGCGACAGGTCAGGATGGGACATACCAAAGCAAGGTTGTCCTCAGGAGGGTTAAGACTGGTCCTGGCTGGCACGGTCTGAAATGACTCTTTGGAGGTCCTGTCTACCAAACGCCGCATCTGCTGACGCAAAGGAATCCAAGTGATAGTGACGGATGAAAGGTGAAGTCCAGGTAGCAGCCCTGCAGATCTCTTCCACTGACGGCTATGTAGCCTATACCGCTGTCATAGCCGCACTACGGGTGGAATAGGCAGTAATGCCCCTGGGAACTGGCAGGGCCCTGCTGGAATAGGCCTGAGCTAGACATGTTTTGATCCATCTACTCACTGTGGATGGAGAAATCTTAACCCCCAATGAGGAAGGTTGGAAAGAACAAAACAGAGACTCTGTCCTGAGGAAGTCAGTAGTATGTTTAATGTAATTTTTTAAGGCTCTGCGCACATCTAGTGTGTGCCAAA